GGCAGGGGCAGGCTACCTCAAAGGGCTGGGAAAGGAGGGGTTCTGTCCTTATTCCTTAAAGGCTTTGTCATCAGATCAGTCTGGGAAATGCTGCCTCCTTTGCTGTATTAGCATGTCATAGCGGGCCCTAGCACAGAGAAGGCCCCAGCAGTTCTGCAGCACCCAGTGTCCCTACTTCCTGCCGACTGAGTCCCTGGTGACCGGAGCACAGGTCCTTGGGCCACACTGCACAGTGTGGGCCATGCCGATGATGCTGACCAGAATACTTCCACTTACTGGGCCTGTGTGTTTCTGAATCACTTAGTGCCCCCAGCAGGACCATGGAGACAGAGATTGTTGCGATTTCACAAATGGGGGAACTACACACTCACTTGCCAAGGGTCACACAGCCAGGGTGCCCAGGGCTGGGCTTGGAAGTCATGGAGCCTACCTGACCGGGTGCAGTGAGCACCTTGTTCAGAGGCAGTGCTGACAGCTGATGTCCACCCTCACCCCCAGGCCCTGCGGATCGTCCTACACAGCCTGGACCTCCGTGCCAACTGCTACCAGCGCTTCGTGGTGCCACTGCTCAGCATCAGTGCTGATTTCTATGTGCGCGTTTTTGTTCGTGTCTTCACCGGCCAGGCCAAGGTCAAGGCCTCAGCCAGGTTAGCAGGGGGGTTGGGGCAGGTGCTGGGTGATGGATTGAATGGGGCAACAAAACCTTTACCTGGGGAAATGGGATCATAATGGGGACCAAGTCAGCCTGAGGGAGGAATGGGGTGTGGTGGCCATCCCCGTTTCCCCCACAGCAAGCAGGCGCTGGTGTTCCAGTGTGTCGGCTGTGGAACCTTCCACCTTCAACGCCTTGGCAAAGCATCTGGGGCCTCTGATGGACGGTGAGCAGGGGTGAGCCAGGAGGGACGTATAGGGAGTTCCAAGGGTTGTTGCCCCCTAAACACCTCTCTCTGTGTAGGGTCAAGTTCTCCGCAGCCTGTGGTCCCCCCATGGCCCCTGAGTGTGAGCACTGTGGGCAGCGGCACCAGGTAGGGCCAGGCTGGGGTTCAGCAAGGTGGTCACAAGGGTCCTGGTGTTTCACTCCTTGCCCATCTGACCCCTGTGTGTCTGCAGCTCGGTGGCCCCCTGTGGGTGGAGCCAATCCATGACCTAGATTTTGTGAGCCGTGTCCTAGGGGCCGTGAGCACCAACCCCAGCCGCTTCCACACTTCAGAGCGGATCCAAGGAGTTCTGAGTGTCATCACCGAGGTGGGGGCAAGGCTGAAACACGATGGGGGCTCACCTGTACCCAGCTTCCTTCATCTGCCCCACCCACATCCTGTTGTCCGTCATGGCAGGAGCTGCCGGATGTGCCTCTGTACTACACGCTGGACCAGCTGAGCAGCACCATCCACTGTAATACACCCAGTCTCCTGCAGCTGCGGTGAGGCCCTGGCCAGGGAGGAGCAGAGCCTGAGTGCTGGGTGCCCTGGGCAACTTGGACCCCTTTCTGGCCAAAGTCCCTTGTAAAATGGAGATCAAATATCACTCACCCCTAGGACATCTCATGTATAACAGAGCTTAGAGGCCAGGAGCTCTGGCCAGGGGGCCAGTCTCACTATTACAATCATTGGCATTATATCAGCCACGTAGTTACCATGAGACATGCAGCCAGCCTCACAGGTCCACTCAACATGACTCACCCACACATGTCAACACTGACTTTGAGGTCTAACCTTCCCCTCAAGGCCCCCCTTGGTCCCCAGGTCAGCCCTCCTCCATGCTGGCTTCCGGGTCTCGCTCTCCCACGCCTGTAAGAATGCCGTGAAGACAGACGCCCCTGCCTCTGCTCTCTGGGACATCATGCGCTGCTGGGTGAGGGCCAGCCTGACCAGCTGGCAGAGAGAGGGCAGAGGTGGGCAGGCTTGGCATCCCCTGGCGTCTGTCCTTTGCCTTCCAGGAGAAGGAGTGCCCAGTGAAACGGGAGAGGTTGTCCGAGACCAGCCCAGCCTTCCGCATTCTTAGCGTGGAGCCCAGGTAAGGACATGACACTTCTGCCACTGGAATGGATTCTCACATGTGTGCAGATGACACAGACACTTCCCTACACAGACACCTGCTCATTCTTCAAGTGAGATCCAGAATCCACCTTGTCCCCCTCCCCTTTCTGCCCCACTTTGGTCTGGCCCCATCGCTGCTCACCGAGACCAGTGCAGTCAGCTCTGCCCTGGTTCCCCAGCTCCCACCCTCACCCCCCATAGACTGTTCCCCTCACAGTACCCAGACGGTGCCTGTGAGCATCTGAGGCAGATCGTGTCCCCCTCTGCTCAGAATCCTCTGTGGCTCTCTCTTCACTCAGTGAAACAGAGTTCCACCTGCAAGGCCTGCCCCATCCCTCTGCCCCTCTCCTGCCCTTACCCCTGCTCGCTCCACACTGGCCTCCTCACTCAGACTCTTCAGACACGTCCCCACCTCAGGGCCTTTGCATGGGCTGTTCCCTCTTCCCAGAGTGTGTATCCCCGGCGTCCCCACAGTGGCTGTTCCCTCACCTCCTTCCCCAGTCTCCCAGTACCTCTGCTCTCCTCTGTTTTTGCCGGAACTCTTACCACATGCCCTAACACAACATGATTTGCTGATTTTTGACTTGTCCCATTGCTTGCCCATCTTGTGCACTGGAATGTCAGCTTTACCAGCAGCAGATTTCAGGCACACAGTAGGCACTCAATAAACATTTATTAAATGAAGGAGAGAATCCTGACACAGGCAAATGCAGTCTTTCCCAAGTCACCAAGGTGGGCGGGCCAGGCCCCATGGGTGGTTTGTTGTGTGTGTCCAAGTGGTGGCTGGCCCTCAGCCACACCCCATCTGCCCCAGGCTGAAGGCCAACTTCACTGTTCGGGACGATGCCAACCCCAGCTCCCGCCAGCGAGGACTCAAGCGCTTCCAGGCCAACCCTGAGGCCAACTGGGGCCCCCGGCCCCGTGCCCGGCCAGGGTGAGTGAGAGCGGTGCTGGTGGGACCTGGCCAGGGCCTGGGGTGCAGAAGCTACATGAGGTCCTAGCTGCTCATCTCCCTGCACAGGGGTAAGCCAGAGGGCAAAGCTATGGAGGACAGACGCAGGCTGCTCCAGAATAAGCGAAAGGAACTGGCTGAGGACCCAGCCCAGCGGGCTGCCCGGCTTAAGACATTTCCTTGTAAGAGGTTTAAGGAGGTGAGGCACCCCCTACCCCTCACTGCAGCACATGTGGGTCCCCCTGAGGTGACAACAGGGCAGGGCTAAGGGGCAGGCAGGGCTGGGAGAACTGGGGGTGGGCAAGTGGATGGTAGTGAGCTCCCCATCCAGGAAAGGAACCCCGCAGAGGCTGCCAGGCTCTGGGCCAGGCTTCACACTTACCATCTTCCCACCAGGGCACCTGTCAACGAGGGAACCAGTGCTGTTACTCCCACAGTCCCCCAACGTCCAAGGCCACTGCTGAAGCTGTCTCCACTGACTGCCCTCAGGCCCCAAACCTAAACCCCCCTGGGCCTGAGGTCACCACTGGTCCAGGTGTAGATTGAGCCAATAAAGAGATTTCGTTTTGTCCTGACTTATTTGTCTTGAATGTGGAAGCTGCCTGTGGTTTGTCTGTCCAACTCTCCAGCATGTTTGGGGCGTGTTCCTCCGCCCGTCTGAATTAACTCCCTGGAGGAGCCGTGTGCTTCGAGAGGTTGGTTTGACTCTCCCTGACTGAGGCGTAATCAGTGTTTCTGTCTGAGGCGTTCTTTCTGTGGGGTGGTTTGTCCCTCTGCAGCTAGAGACACTTAGCACCTGGTTGCTGGCGCCTGCAGTTTCCCAGGCGGCCACAGGGTGGCAGCAGTGCGCTCATGCCCACGGGCCTTAAGCACCCCCTTCGGTTGGCGTGCTTTCCAGCTCAGGCGCGCGCAAGCGGGTGCCACCGACCTCCCACGTGGCCTCTCGCCGCCACCTCTTTGCTGCCTGGTTTCTCTGGCCCAGCTCCCCTCGGGGCCGCCGTGGCGGAAGCCAGACCGGAACCAGGGGGCCTTGCGCATCCGCTGCAGACCAGGTGCTTCCTGCCCTGTGGCCCCTGGGGTGGGGGTGCTCATCAAGGCACCAGGCTGACTGCTGCATCCTCCCCACAAGGGCAAGCCTTAGCAACGTTAACAGGCCTGTGGCAGAGTCCCCACTATGCCACGCGGTAGCTGTGGAACCCCAGAGGCAGCTTTCACCTTGCTCCATCCCCAGGAGTAAAATAAACCTGATCCTAGAACCAGGCTTGTGGGCACCTAAAAGTTCATCCAGTGCTTAGAACTGGACCCTTGTTTCACTGGGACAGTGGGGTGGTTGGTGGTGGGTCCTTGAATCATCTGGTTCCTGGGAGGAGGGTGGTAGCGTGGGCACTGGCTAGAAGCTGAGGGCTTGCCTGGGGGGCTCCTGCAGTTACTAGATGGACACAGAACAGCGCCACTGACCCAGGTGAGAGGGTGCTGGGGATCAGAAACAGTCTTGTTATTGCTACCTAGCTGTACCCAGCCCCCCCCCCCACTTCTTAAAGTTCCATCTAGGTCTTGGGTTTCATGACCACCCAGGACATTCATGCAACACCTTTTCATCACCATTCCCCCTGAAGTGGCCAGGCTGAGGGCTGGGGACCACCCAGTTATGTGACCCTGTGACCTAGAGCACCAGGATTGTGAGGGTATGCTGAGGGGACCTATTGGAAGGTTCTAGTAGCTCTAGCAACATAGTGAACCTCTCCCAGTTGCAGACCTTCCTGGGCCTGGAAAGGGTGTGTGGATAACACAGTTGGGACCAGGACAACTGCCCAGGCTGGGCACCTTAGATCAGACTGTCAGAACTGCCCTCCTGCCAGTGCCCTGCTCTGGGGTGGGGGTGGCAGAATGGCTGGGAGGGGCTCTGTAAAAAGAGGAACCAGGCAGGGGGAGGAGAGGGCCCCAGTCACGAGCCCCAGCAAGACCGGAAAGGGCTCTCCACCCCCATCAGCACGGACACAACTGGGGGTGTTCAAAGCCATAGGCCAGACACAGGAGGCCTCTGCTTTCCTGCCTCAGTTTCCTATCTGTGTGCATTTGGGCACCTCACACCTAGCTGTGCACAGGCTGGGTCCTTGGAAGGCCAGGGTCCCTCCAGTGACTGAGGGACAGAACATGAAGCCCTGAGGGGTGACAGCCAGTCCTGCCCGCCAGCCTGGGGCGGGGCCAGAGGCCGATCTCAGAGATCCCCACCCACTGGTTTCCTCCGGGGTCAGCCCGACTCCTTATCAGTCTCGGCCAGGCGGCCAGGCCCTTATCTGCGCTGGCCCAGCATCCTCCAGCCACTGCGCCAGGGGTAAGAGGGAGGAAACTGGCCACCGGGGGCGGGGAGAGGGCGAGCCAGCCCCGGAGCCGCTCACTTTTCCTCTAGGGACCCATGCTGCTGCCATCACCGAGGCCCCAAGGCCCTTGGGAGCCCAGGAAGAGGTGAAGCCCAGACAGGGTGGCCAACTGCCTGGGGCACAGCGTGAAGAGGCTGGAGGAAGCAGGGCTGTGGAGCCCAGCCTGAAGCAGGACCACATCCTTGTCTGACCGACAGAGCCAGGGCACTCAGCAGGCAGCACAACCAGCACCGGGGTAAGAGGGGAGCAGCCTGAAGGTGGGGGAATCCCTGACCCACCTGCCTTCATTCATTCGTTCCTGCCAGCCTTCATTCATTGATCTGCAGGAACCAACTAAGCAAGAGGCCAGGCCAGCTTCCCCAGGACCCAGCTAGGGAACACAGGGCAGAGGGACCAGGTGTTCCCGATATTGCTGGGACAATCCAGGCCATGGAGCCGAGAGTAAACAGGGACCTCTAAACAGGGTGCAAAGTAGGGGGGGATGCTGATGGGTAGGGATGGTAGGGGGGGTCACCAGGGCCACATGGAGGATTAAGATATGACTGTACATACTGGGCTGGGTAATGCCAGCATTTGGGGTCACAGTGTCAGCAGTGGGGTCACAGGATTAGTGAGGGGGGAATGTTCGATAGGGGTGGTTGTCACTAGAGTGACTATGGAGGACTTTCAGGGTCTGACAGAGGCAATGGATAGAGCCTCGGGGGCCTAGATGAGGACCACAGGGTGGGCCTGGGTGGGAGCAGGGAGGTCAGTGAAGGGTCAGGGTCAATCATGTAGAGATTCCAAGGACACAGTGTCAGTGAAGGGTGTCAGGATCAGATCTAAGGGTCCCAGGGTCCATCATGTGTCCCCTGCCTTGCCTCTACCTGCGGACTCCAGGTGAGAGGTGATTCTGAAAGAAGGGAGTTTGCTCGGGGGTTGTGCAGATGAGGCCCTTATGGATCACAAACAACTCAGAGACGTCACTGCTGGGCTCACCGAGTGCACAGCATCTCAGTGGGCACCTCCTGCCCTGTGTCTGACCCTCCTCCCATGTTCTGGCAGTTTCTGGGCCCACTCTCTCACCTGCCTTTGCCCACTGAACTGCCAACCTTCCCCAATCCCTTCCATTGTAGGGCTCTTTTGGGCTAAGGGGGTCCCCGATCCCTCCTCCCCACTGGCTTTCTTCCCTTCCACAGGTGAGCACCCCATTGGGGTCCATGTGCCCGCCCGAGGCCCAGGCAGAGGTGGGCCCCGCCATGACTGAGAAGGCTGAGATGGTGTGTGCCCCCAGCCCGGTGCCTGCCCCGCTCCCCAAGCCTGCCTCGCCTGGGCCTTTGAAGGTGGAAGAAGTGGGCCATGGAGGCACCTCCTCCCCCAGGCTTCCCCCTGGTGTCCCAGTGATCAGCCTGGGCCACACTAGGCCTCCAGGGGCAGCTATGGCCACCACAGAGCTGAGTGCCTTGCGGCCCCCGCTGCTACAATTCTCCACCCTGGGAAGTGCCCCAACCCATCTGGCCCTGCACTACCATCCTCACCCCTTCCTCAACAGGTCAGTGGGGGGCTGGGCCTGGGGGCAATCTGGGGCCAGGGTCATTGCACACAAGGCATTAGTGACCCATGAACCCTTACAGCCTCTACATTGGGCCGGCAGGACCTTTTAGCATCTTCCCTAGCAGCCGGCTGAAGCGGAGACCAAGCCACTGTGAGCTGGAGCTGGCTGAAGGTGAGTATGGGCTCGTGTCTACATGGGGCCTATGTCTGTCCCATTCCTTTCCACAGGGGTAGGTGCTGCCAGTGCGTGCACACACGCAGGGCAGTCCACATGGGGCTTGTTGCTCATGTTACAACCATGTGCAAAACCACAGTCCCAACAGCCAGCCCCACACGACCAGTCACCCAACAAGCCACAAAGAGTTCTGGCAAACACAGCATGGCACAGGGGCCACAAAATGACAGCGCCACTCGGATACACAGCCACCCAGGAAGTAGCCACATGACAACCCCCTTGCAAGAGGCAGGCATGGGACCACAACCACACAGGAGACAGCCACACAACCACAGCCACTTAGGACATGGCCACACAAGAGTCAGCCACACAACCGCAACCATGCATGACACAGCCACATAGCAACAATCACACAACCACAGCCATGTAGACAGACCACAAATCACACAGCCACCTGAGACGAGAACAGGCCCACAATCACAACAGGGGTGCCTCTCGGACCCACAAGCACCTCTGGCCACACACAGGCACACTCAGAATGAGGACTATAGGGACAGCTCCCCAGACTGGCAGCCCGAGGAAACATTTCAGCCCCCAATATAAAGGTGCAGACAGCCAGAGGCGCAGAGGCCCCAGTGACCTGCAGCCTGGCCTGTCCCTGTTTAGATTCTAGATGGCTGAGGGTGGGGGATGGGCAGGGTTCCTAACTAGCAGGAGAGCCACACAGGGATTCTACACGTGGATCCCATTGGTGGAGAAAGCCTCAGTTCACCACCTGTGTGGAAGTCTCCACCCGAGTGCTGGGTGCCTGCAGGGAGGGCGGGAGGGGGCGCCCCCTCGGTGCCAACCCCTAACCCCTCTCCTCTGTCTGCAGGGCAACAGCCCCAGAAGGTGGCCCGGCGCGTGTTCACCAACAGCCGAGAACGCTGGCGGCAGCAGAACGTGAACGGCGCCTTCGCTGAGCTTAGAAAGCTGCTGCCCACGCACCCGCCCGACCGGAAGCTGAGCAAGAATGAGGTGCTCCGCCTGGCCATGAAGTACATCGGCTTCCTGGTGCGGCTGCTGCGAGATCAGGCGGCTGCTCTGGCAGCAGGCCCCGCCCCGCCGGGGCCCCGCAAACGGCTGGCTCACAGAGGTCCGGACGACGGTGTCCGCCGTAGGCTCTGTCGCCGGGCCGAGGCGGTGACACGTCTGCAGCCCGCACCCCCGGCCTGCTCCAATGACAGCCCTAGCGGGGCGGTCCGCCCCATCAAGACGGAACAAGCGGCTGTGAGCCCAGAGGTGCGGTGACCCCGAGGCGTAGCCTCTGAGCCAAAGTGCACTGGGAACTCAGCCCTGGGCCGTCGAGGAATGGGAGGACCACGCACTGCGCTTACCCTGGAGCGAAGTTCCTCGCAGAGGGACCAGTGAGGGCGTACCCAACAGGGGAAGGGGCCGGGGGTCTGGAAGGGCGACCATCACCCCCAGGGGCCCTGCAGACCTTTTTATCACCCACCGCCTGCTGGAAGTGGCCTTGCCAGCACCCTCCTCCCAGAGGTGAGGTCCAGGAACCAACAAGGCAGAGTGGTCATCGGACCCAAGTGGTGCCTCATTTTTGCAGACTGGGGGCTCACTGAGAGGTGGGGAGGAGCCAGGGAGCCTTCTCTTCTCGCCGGCGCCCCCTCCCGGGAACTCAGGGATACAAGCGCCTCGACGGCGTCGGCAGCGAGCCTGGAGCGCAGAGTCCGCGCGGCGCCCCACCCCACCTAGCCCAACTGGGCCCTGCACAATCGTGTTAGCGAAGGCTCAGTTGCTGTTGCTTTTGTTTTTCTTTATTTCTTTATTTCACATACACATTAGCCATTCAATGGAGAAGCCGGAGAGTCAGGCAAAGATGGTATAACAGAAGCGCAGTGACGGGGGCGGGGCGGGGCGGGGCGGAGAGGGGACAGACGGGCTGGCTGCCTACTTGCATTCCGCTAGGACACTGAAAACCCAGAAAACAAAACAGACAGTAAACTACCCTTGTTTCTTATGTATCTCAGTGCAGAGACGGGGTGGAGGGCGGGGGGGGGGAGACCAGGCTGAAGGAGGAAGAGGGGAGGACAGGGGACGCTAAAGGGAAGCACACCAAATCCATTAGTACTATATATAGAGATACTCGTATATACTGCGTTTCTTAGCCTAAGAAGAAACTTGTTTGACGGGACGGGCGGCCTTTGCGGTCCGCGATGCTGGTGCTGGTCGGGCGCACGGATCTCCCGGGAGGGTCCGAAGTGGGGCTGGCCCAGGCTGGCTTGCGGGGGGAGGGGGGCGCCCCGAGGGTAGGTGGGTGGGGGGAGCAGAGGCGGGGCTGGGGTGCCCCTCGGGCTCTCGATTGGGGGACGAAAGTTCTCGTGACTTTATTGCTCCTTAATTTTCTCTCGTGTGGGTGGGGGGGGGGTCCGTTCGGCACGGTCGGGGTGGGGAAGTGATGGGTCGTCTGAGCCACCCGGCCCCTCTGGGACCCAAAGCGCGGCGTCCGCTCCGCCAGCACGGGGGTGAGAACAAGGCACTAGGTCGGCCGGCCAGCGCGGGGGGGGCGGGTGTGTAAGGCAGTCGACAGGGCTGGTTGAGGGGTGGGGTGGGCTGGGCTGTGTGCGGGCCGTGTGCGTGCGTGCGTGCGTGCGCAGGCCTGGGCGAATCGACCTGTCAGCTTGGCTGGTCCGGTCCTGGAGCGTCGAGCCTTTCCCGTGCTCCCCGGAGGGTGACGGGGGTGGAGGGGGTGGGAGGAATGATGTTGAGTCGGGGGCGCTGGGGCAGGGCGGGGAGGAAACTACCAACTTGCTGAGCGCGCTCCTGATAATGCTGGTGAGGGTCAAGTTGGCGTCTGGCTCAAAGAAGGGCGCTCAGGGGGGAGAGGGAGGGAGGGAGGGGACATTTGTTCGTTGGCATTGACCTCTGCGGGGGTGGGGGCTGGGGACCCCCCCGCCGCGCCCCAGTGCCTGGGTGAGGATGGGGCGAGGAGGGGGCGCCGGCCCCGGGGAGGGGACGCCCGGGGAGACCCGCGGCCAGAGCAGCCCCGCCGCTGGGCGCACGCCGCTGTCCCGTTCCGTTAAACTCAACAAGGAAGGGATATGCGTGTTCCTAACAAGTGCAGGATATTTAATTGATCATAAACTTATGTATAATAGTTTGTGGGTTTTTAAAAACGTACTTTATAATGTAAGAAGCACCAGGGTTTTTATGTTGAATTATCTTAAAAATAATTTTCTCTCGTCCTTTTCCTTTTAGATCTTGTTTTGATTTTTTTTAATGTTCAGGTATTTTTTTAACTCTAAAATGTGAACGTTTCCTTCAGCCCTCCCACCGAAACTGAGAACGAACGACGAAACAAATAAAAACCCCAGATCATCCTTGTCAACGCAGGAAAACGACTTAAAAAAAAACTGAAAACAAACAAAAAAAAGGAAAAAAAACACTCAGCTTTCGTTATCCCCGCGAAGGGCGGGGCAGGCCCGGTTCTTTTAGCGTCCCCAGAGCCGCGAGGACATTACAACAAAAATAGAATTTTTCTTAACAATCTCTTAACATACAAAGATAGGAAAACTCTCTGATGCATTGCACTTGGTTCAATGAAAAAAAAAAGTTCATTTCCCCCATATATATTTTTTTTTGTTTTTTTTTTCTCTTCTAACACGTCCCCACATCTCCTGTGGCCCTCGTCGCCTCTCGCCTGACCCTCACAGCGACACTTGGGAACGGAGCGGCCCCAGCCCCTGCAGCCCCGGCAGCCCCGCCGGGCGCGCTCTGTCCCGGCCCAGCTGGCCTGCAGCTTCCGACCTCGCCGGGGCGGGCGCCCCGCAGAACCCGGCTCCCGCCGCGCCCGCGACCCCGATTGTCTTCGAGGGAAGGGGCACGTGCGGCCGGGCAGGGGGTCCCTTCCGCTCCCCTCTCAGCTCTGACCCTGTTTAGCCAACCAAACTGAAAAATCATTGCACTTTGACCGCGCGTCATGCCCGGCCCACCCGGCCCCCCACCCCCGCCCTACTCCCCATGCCCCCCACAGGCTCCCGCGGGATCCCCTGTCCCCAGCTTCTCAGTCTCCGTCCTCCCCAGGGCTGCAAACGGATGGGGGAGGGCCTTCCTTCAACTTCCAACAAAAGCTACCCCAAGGGCCAGCCACTTTGTGGCTTCCAGCTGGGGAGGAGGCGCCCTCCACTGGTCCCCTCGGCCCCAGGTGAGGGCCCTCTTCCCTTCCCCTCCTTCCCTTCCCTGGCCTGCTGGGGGCCAGCCTCACACACTAGATTCACAATAAATAAAACCCATAACCCACCCCTGCGGTGCAATGTTGGGTTGACTGACTTTCGGAGGATCCCGACCTGTGCTTTGTGTTTTCATACAATTAAGAAAGAGAGAAAGAGAGAGAGAGAGAGAGGCACAAGGACTTAGAAGGGGTCCAAGGAGGGTAGATGGAGGGAGGAGGGAGTAAGGCACAGAAAGACAAGCCAGAGGGGCCAAGTCACACCCGGGATCTGGGCTGGGTGTGTTCCTGCTCCCCTCCCTCCCAGGGGGGCTTCTGAAAACCCTCTGGACAGGCCCCCAACCTTCCCTTGGGGGAGGAGGGGGCTTCAGTGGAGGGGGGAGCTACTTCCTGTGGTGTGTTACCAAATTGTTCCCAAGTTGCTCAACTGGAGGAGGAGTTCCCAACTGCAACAGCAGAAGACCTGAACAATTAATGCCCCACCCCGAAATAAAGAGTAAAAACATTACAGCTGAAATCCAGAGAGAAGTGGCCACAGGGGTGGTGTGGTGGGGAAAGTGGGGGGGAGGACAGAGAAAGCTCCAAAACACATTTGAAAAAGGACGACACCCAACACCCTCCAAAGGAACTGAAAGTGGGCCAGCAGGACGCCTACCTAGCACAGGTGGCGGCTCTAGCCGAGGGCAGCGGCGGCTGCCCTTCCTCCTCGCTTGGCTCCAGGTCCCCTTTCTCCTCCACTCTCCCGGCCCGACCACAGCAGGGCTGTCTGCGTGAGGGGCAGGGACCGATGGGGTGGCACAAGGGCACCTGCATGCGGGCTGGGGCGTGGGGGTGACCTGGGGCCCGTCTCCCCTCACTTAGGCCATGGCAGGAGGGCAACCTTGCGGGCCTGCCTGTGGAGGGAGGGAAGTGTGGAGGGAGGGAAGAGGGGCCTGTCCCATGCTGGGACGGACCTTTGAGAGCATTCTTTTTCCTATGGACTGTACAGGGAGGTCTGGGGTCCCAGGGAACTACCCTTGCAGCTCAGGATGGGGTGGCAAAACACCCTCCATTCCAAGAACACGAAACTAGCTCCAGGGGAAGCCCCCTGCCCACAGCGAGTGGGGCTTCTAGCCCAAGGGTGGGGCAGGGGGACTCCGAGGCCACCCTGCCTCACCCGGTTCAGAGCAGTGGATGGAAGAAGCCAGAGGCAAGGCAGGGAGGACGGGCAGGCGGGGTCTGGAGGGGAGTGCCCTCTGGATCTGCACCCTTCGTCTTTACAAGCTAGTCCTCTGATCCCCCTAGTGAAGCTCTGGCCCCAGCCGAGGGTGGGGTTCTCCCAGGAAGGGCAAGGGTGGGGGACAGGCCCCTTCAGAACGGTGCTGGTTGCTTTGTTTGGGGATTTTGTTCCTTTCCCCAGAAGGCCAGGATGGGATGGGGGAGGAAGGAAGTTCTGCTGCATCCTTTCTTTCTTTCTGTCCTCTGCTTCTCAGTCCGTTTTGCATGTTTCTTTCTGCTTGGCTGCTGGTGCACAGCTCTAACGGGACCTCTTCTGAGGGCTCTCAGAGAACTGGGCTGCTTCGGGGGGCCTGCAGGGGTCCCTGGGCTGGAGGAGAGAAGGGCTGAGTGGCTGATGATGTCTAATTTTTGCTTTTCGGTGGGGCTGGGCTGGGGGATTTTTTTCCACGTCTCAAAATTTCTTCTCCCCCCGTTTGAGGAACCTCTTCTTTTCATTTTGTCATTTCTTTTGTCGATCTTATCAGAGGAACCAGGACTGAATCGGGACAAAAAAGAGGCAACATTGAGAACAGCAGGGGCAGGCCCCTCCTCACTCCCACCTGGCCCTGGGACTGTGGTACCCCGGGCCCCTGGAGGGTCCAGCCCCAGCAAAGCCAAGGACACCAACACTCCACCCAGAGGTACAGCCCCTTCTGTCAGTCTCTCCTATGGGAATCCTGTCCCTTGAGAGACCCTGCCCCCCAGTGCTAGCGTTCAGCTGGCCTTCCCTCGGGCACCATGCCCAGCGGGTAGGACCCCCGTGGCTGATGCTGGCACAATCATAGACCTGGGATCTGGCCATGTTTCCAATTGTTTAGGTTTTTGTGTGGGTCCTGGAGGGTGGGGAGGATGCCAGGCTGGAGCTTTTGTCCCTAGAGGGGTTTGGGGAGTGGGGTGGGGGTGGCCAGCTTCTTGCTGAGTTTTCTTTCTGTCTCTTTGGACTAAAAGCAAAAATTCCCGTCTGTATACCACAGCCAAGGTCCCACAGGCTGAAAGGCTGGCAAGAGAGGGACACCACATGGCTTCAGTCTCTAGCAGTGCTGGTGCTGGGGGAGGAGGCCAGCAGATACACACCCGCCTCCCTCACCCTCTACCCTTAAGGCATCGATTTTCAACCGCTGTGCTGCAAGAATGTGTAAAGCATGCAATACCTGACTAGTCAGGGACACTGACTTCTTTTCCCTTAGATTGTCAAATTAAAAAGAAATGACAATAGCCAATACAACAATAGCCATCCAGTGTGAATGAATCAAAATTATACCTATTTTTTGTCAGATTGGCAAAAAATATGCTTTTTGCTGTGCCGAAG